TGTATGCAGAATAAGGTGATTTTTTAGCGCCTTTGCGCGCTTAAAGGCTCGTCCACAAAAGTCACATTTATGTTGCATGACATCGGAATGCACCAACAAATGACGGTTCAATGTAGCTTTGGAGTTTAATTGCAAACCGCATTCGGCACAAATATGCTTATTTGGATTATGCGTTTCCAAGTGTTTCTGTGAATAACATAAATATGACAGATAAACATAATGCATGTATACGCTGAAAATTATTTAACGTTGCTTACTTTAAGTCGCACTTGATTTTTAAAGCCTTTTTTACACACTTCACATTCAAACGGCGCATAATCTGTATGCTGTCTCTTATACACATCTAGATGTGTATAAGAGACAGTAGCATCTTTCTGTCAAATTTATGAAAGATTTAATAATATTTAATAACAAAATAATAACAAATAAAATGTAACAGTACTTAATCAAAAAATAACAATAATACATAATTTAAAAATTACGAATAATTAAAGAAAATTGAATGATTTACGCACTCTTTATTTTTCTCCAAAATTTATTTAAAACGTTTGGCTTATAATTTTATTATGTACAATGCCTTACGATAAAAAAAATTATACATTTTATTCTATTTGTTAGTTTTTCGTTTAAGTACATGTAAATAGCTATTGACATCCACAGATAACTATCTGGAGTATGTTGTCTTATGTGGCTATAAAATTTATTTCCGTCCGCTGCACTTGCTGGTGCTGTGGAGAGCTCTTCTGTGTGATGAAAAATATGACTTTTGTCATGCTGTTGTTGTAATACGGCTATGTGTTGTTGTTTTACACCAATTTGATGTTGCCTTATAAGTGGTGTAAATAATATTGCTGATTAAGCGGCGTTTGCTGCTGGACAATGACATTTGTTGTGTCAATAGTTTCACAACTGTTGTTAACAGGTGATGAGTCTGCGCTGTGTGAGCGTTTCAGTTCCGTATGCATGGGATTCAGTATGGAGGTAGAGTTCATAGCATAACCACTGTTGGTGGCAGTTTGCTTCATTAGATGATTGTATATATTATCGTTATACACATCTAGATGTGTATAAGAGACAGGAGCAGCTCATAGTGGATAATTCCTTTCCAATCC